GATATGACAAAATAATAATTTATAAATTATCAAGGGCTCATGAGGGAGGGGGTAGTGGGGAGGGAGGGGGAAAATGAGGACCTGATGCTGGGGGCTTAAGTGGAGAGGAAATGTTTTGAGAATGATGAGGGCAATGAATGTACAAATGTGCTTTAGACAATTGATGTATGTATGGATTATGATAAAAGTTGTATGAGCCCCTAATAAAACGATTAAAACAAATGTGTCAGTATCTCCAAATGACTGCCTAAGAGCATCTGTGATAAAGTACATTTTGTTGACATGCCATTGAATCCCTGAGAACAGTTAAAAAATTTTTAAAGAGGTAATACAGAAGCTGTGGTTTGAAAAAAAAAAAAAAAACGAGGGAAAATGAAGTGCTTCATTTCTGGGTGAATTTGCCTAGCCCCGTCCTGTTCCCTGTCAGTACAGATCAGTGAGAGCCGAGTGGTGAAACCCTATCACCACCTAACAGAAGGGAAAATAACTCAACAGGGTCATCCGATCTCCCTTTTGACTCATTTTAATTTATTCTGGTTTTAAATATTGTCTGGTTTCTTTTTGATTGAGGTTTTTCTCCGGTTTAATTTGGTATTGTTGTTAGTTTTTGTTGTTGTTGGTATATTTTTCTGCATATAAAATCCAGCATGGATAAATCTACAGACACAGTAATCTGACTGATGGCTTCTTGGGGGTATGGCAGGGAAGGTTGAAGGGAAGTGGGGAGCTAAAAACCAAGAAGTACAAGAAAGAAGAAAATGTTCTACAATAGTTTTTAGTGATGAATGTACAACTCTTCTTAATATGATTGAATTATTGAATTGCATAATATGTGAATTATATGCCACAGACACTGTTAAAAAAAACAAAACCCTAAGAAACCTCATTTTCTTCTCCCACTCATAGGCCAAGATAATGCTTCTCACCTTACTGAACTGTCCAACCACGTGCTTCAGGATATTGGGAGGCGCATCATACAGAAATGGTTCGAGAGCTGGTAGATAGGTGCATTTTTGTAGGATATTCTTTATAGCTTTTTTACTCTGTTGAATAAATACAAAGCAAAATGCATACCAAAGTATGTAATCAATGAAAACATGATAAAAATTGATGTGCATTAGGTTTAATGTATTTCTCATTGCTAAATAATGTTCCATTTGAATTCACATTCCTAGGATTTGAAAATGAAAGCAATTTCCTGATCTAATCGTTAGGTTTTCTTTCTTAATGTTTGTCAGAAATATTCCTATCTTTAATTGGTTTTATCATGGAATAACCTGCTAGTTGTTTTGTAAAGCCTTAAAATACACGTCATTATTGAGATCTTAAAACACCTGTAAGGTAATTAGAATTAAAATTATCAGGCATAAATTTTAGGCTATAAGTTAACATATGTGAGTATAAAAGTCTACATTTATGACACTATGTGATAACAAGTATTTCCTACTCCTTTCATACAATGAATATAAGACTCAGTTTATCATAGAACACCAGCATCAGGGACTCTATGTTCTCCAAAGGGTTTCATAGCTCACAGGTATGAAATCAGAAATTTTCTACTGGGCATGTATTCAGTGCATACCGGCCGTTGTGCTGCAGTAGTTCATGGTAGGCATTTCCCCATGCACATATGCATAATAGAGACAGGTTCTCTTCCAGCGGTGGATAAAAGTTCCTATAGGCACTAGCCAGGGTATCAGGCACAAATCAAAGACTAGGTGGTCACATCTGCCCTTCCTCTTCCTTTCCCTCACTGGGACTCCACGGTATCTCACCACTGTGGCGTGCTGTCCCCAGTCCCACTTCTTGAGTGGTACCTTGATGTGACTGGAACCCATTAGCGCACTTGGTTTCCAGGTCATGGCTGTCTGTGATTCTGTGTGTCACTGCAGACTGCCCACTTCAGTTTGGAAAGCTACACCACACATTGGGTTTGTCTCCTGCACTTTTCCATCTGAATTTCACATCTGCTTGTAGAGACTTTGTGTCATTGCATCCTTATAGCTTTTCTTCGGGTCGCCTACAATCTCTTGAGGACCTGGCAGACCTGGTTTGCTAGGAAGAGTGTCCAGCAATTGTGAATGCTTAGTTATCAATGCTCTCAAAGCGTCAAGGAGCATTTTGACTTCCACATCATGAATTTTAACAACAGGCACACGGGTACAGCAAAAACTTCCAAGACATTTGTGCTTTCAGTAATGGAACTTTGTCATTTAAGGTTTCCCAGAGATCCACGTGAGGCAGCCTGTATAACCTTTCTATCTTTCAAGACACATGTTCTCAAACATTGTTTTATAAGCTAGATCAAAATAATGAATGGATCAAAGACAGCCAACCTTCTTTCTGTAAGTTGCATAATACAAGTTGAAGTCAAACTGTTAATTCCCACCACACCTAGTTGTGACTTTGTGAACCACCACAGGTTAACAGCAAGTCAAAAAAAAAATCACCGTATATACTCGAGTATAAGCCCGGCCTGACGATCAGCCGAGGCACCTAATTTTACCACAAGAAACGGCATTAAAAATGTGCTGAAAAAACTCGGCTTATACTCGAGTATATACGGTAAATGTAACTACAATTGGTCTACTATGACTGCACAACACATTGGAACTACTGTGCTTAAATACAGGGGGCTTCAAACGGTTCATGAAAAACGGAATGAAAAGATAAATGCATCTTTTCCATGAACATTTTGAAGCCCTCTCATAGTTGTATTCTAATTCTAATTCTATTAGTTCCGAGTTGGTGATGTCCTGCAAAGTTGTTACTGATCAAGAACACTAGAAAGCAATCTAATGACATTAGAAGCTCACTGAGCTTGGAATAAAGACACTTGATTTATGGTTATATTTTTCAAGACAGAATATCTCATTAATACAATGCTAAATGATCCAGCATGAAAGAAATATTAGCATTATTAGTGTTAAGATTTTGTTTACATGTACATTTGTCAACCACAACATTCCCTTCACTTAAGCCTACAATTCAGTGACCGTTCGTACATTCTGAGTTATGCAACCATCTCCACAGTCTAACACTGAACCGTTTTGATTATTCCAAAAGCAAAGCTGTGCCTGTTAGTCATTCCCTATTCCCTCCTAGCCACCAGACCCTGGCAACCACTCATTCCTTTGTCTATAGTTTTGACTTTTCTCAACTATTCATATAAAGAGGATTGTGTAATATATGAGCTTTCATGTCTGCCTCCTTTCACTGAGCAGAAGGATTTGGTGTTATCTATATTACAGCAGGTATCAGTACTTGAAGTACTTTGTTCCTTTGCCCTGCTACACAAAGATGATCATATTTTCTTTATCCATTCACCAAGTGATAGACATTTGGATTATTTCCTCTGGGCTATTATGAACAATGCTGCCATGAGATAAGTATACAAATCTAGTTTGTCGACATAAGGGTTGGTTTTCATTTCTGTTGGATAGAAATCTAAGAGTGGAGCAGTGGGTGATGATGGCAAATTTATCATTAATTTTTTGAGAAATGACCAAATTTTTTCCCAATGTGGCTGCAACATTTTACATTCTCACTGGCAATGTAGTAAGGTTCAAAGTTCTCTACATCGCGGTCGCACTTTTTATTTATTGTCTGTCTTGCTCACTGTAGTCATTTTGTGGGTGAGAAGTAATAGCTCATATGGTTTGGATTTGCATTTTCTCTAAGGAATAATGCTGAACATTTTTTCATGTGCTTATTGGCCTTTTGTATATTCTGTTTAACGAAATGTTTATTAAATTCATGTTGTCCATTGTTTAATTTGGCTGTGTGTCTTCTTGTGGAGCTGAAAGAGGTCTTTATATTTTTTCTTGATACAAGTTCTTTCTTGAATATATGATGTACAAATATCTTCTCCCAGTATGCAGCTAACTTGCCTTTCCATTTTCTTAATGGTATTTTTTAGAAGCATAAAAGTTTTTTTTATTATGACCACTATTGTTATGAAGCATGATGTGCATAAGTTATTGAACAGAAAACAAATTTGCTCTACAAACTTTCACCAAAAACACGACAAAAATTTTTTAAGTTGGTAATTATAATGAAACCTCCCCCTTTTGTTTTTGTTTTGTTTTTGCATTTGTACTTTTGTTATACAGCTAAGAAATATTTTGCCTCATTCAAGGTCAAGTTGTTTTGGGGGCTATATTCCAAAAACTTTATAGTTTTAACTCAGGTCTATGATTTTAACTCAGGTCAGTTGTAACTTTAGGACTTTCAATTTCATTTAATCTGGGTGGCTGTTATGATATGTGACTACACTCACAGGAATTGTTCCAGTTTATAAAGAAGATGTTTTTACCTGTTACTGTGGGGACTTGTGTCTGAGGTCCTCATTCAGGGTCAAGAAGCTGACCTGTATGACACATAACCGTATGTGTGCTTGTCCCAGTGTCAATGCTGAAAAGAGTTTTTCTTTTCCCCCTCACATTAAAAATTCTTGGTACTTTGGTCCAAGCTCAGTTGGCCAGAAATAAGGAGAGCTTTACATCTAGATTCCCAACTCAAATGTCATTGTTAAATATGTGTTCCCTGAAGCAACACTGCCCTGACCTGGTTACTGTAACTTTGTAGTAGGTTTTCAGCTTGGACACTCCGACTCCATTTTTCTTTTTTAAGATCGTTTTTTCCCCTCTTCTGCATTCTTTACACTTCCAAATGGATCTTTGTGTTGTTTTATTTTAATAATTTATTACTGTGTTTTAGGTAAAATTTTCCTTAGCAAATTAGTTTTTCATTAATTAATCTTTATACAAACAGTTCCGTAACACTGGTTCCATTTTAACAGTGTGTCAGCATTCTCATTATTTCCATTCTGCTTGTTCCGTTTCCATTAATCTAGTTTTCTTGCCCCTCTTTACAGTTTCACCTTTGACTTACAGTAAATGCTGACTGTTGGGTCTTATCCTGCTGATCACTGAAGAAGGGTGCACAGGACTCACCGGCAATATTGTTTAAAGCCAATCTAATATTTGGGTGAAAGGTGATCTCCTGAGTGGCATCAGTTCCAAGTTCAAAGAGTATCTGAGGACAACAATCTCATGGGTTACTCTATCGGCCTAGTAGGTCAGACATTTTTTACAAGTCTGAGTTTTGTGTTCCATTTTCTCCTGTTCTATCTGGGACCTGTCCGAACAGTCGGGAGTGGTCACCGGACATCTACCTCGTCTGGTCTCGGGTTGCCGGGCTGCGGTTCCTGTGGTCTTGGACCAGCTTCTTTGCTGAGCCATTGCTTTCCTTCATTCTCTTCCGTCCCAGGCAGCAGAGATCACCAGCTGTATCTCAGATGGTTGCTCGCAATTTCTAGGACCTCAGACACAACTCCCCACAGTAACAGGTAAAAACATCATCTTTATAAACTGGAACAACTCCTATGTTCCGTAATTTTTTCAGCAATGTTTTATAGTTGTAGTATAACAGTCCTATACTTCTTTGGTTTAATTTGTTACTAAGAGTTTTATTTTTCTGATAAAACGGTTTTCTTAATTTCATAATTAGACTATACATTACTAGCATATTTTAAAATGTTATTTTAATATGCTGATCTTGTATTTGGGGACCATATTAGTTCTATTATTCTTCTGCGGGTCCCATTCCACATACAAGATTATGTCAGGTGTGGCTTAAGATCTGTTAGATTACAGAAAAATGTGTCTTGTGTTTAGTAATATATGGCTGTCTGTAAAATAATTCTTATACTTCATATACCATGAATTATACAGAAATTATAAGGGGTCAGCAAACTCCTTAGTTAAGTCTGTAAAACAATGAATATCTTACTTTGAAATACTGAATCATGGACTATGAACTTTACTATTACTATACTTATTACTATTTCTTAATTTGTCCTTATGAATACATGTGATCATGTTAGAAAAAGAGTTGCTGCATCCTTATTTAGGGAATAAAGCAGTCTTTCACTGTGAGCCATGTCTGCAGGTCTGCCAATGGCAAAACCACACACTGATCAAAGCTCTCATTGTAAAAAGCAGTTATTAAGTGACTCATGAAACTATTTCTATCTCTTAAC